TATATACTCACGTGTGGATCAAATCGTGCGCAGAAGTTCTTGTATACAGAAGAAATACTACGTATGCCCTGTGAAGGTACTATATGTAAAGTTTCTGATATTCCTTCTTGGTCGCATATATCATCCAATAAAATACAAGATTTTGCGGACATACACCACTTAATTTGCAATAACATCATACATTTCGTGAAATTTTCAATATCACTCCGTTCCTGGTATACCAGATACAAAGTATCAACCTAAATAGAATTAGGGATGAGCAAATCGAAGATTGTTTGAATCTACTGCGCAGGCTGCGCAGCCTGACAACCCCGATACCTTTAAGAGTCTAGAGTTCATGATTATATATATAAAACATCTACTTAGTATGCATAAAGTTAGGCTCCCATTATTTTTGATTAGTTCAGGCTCAGTTTAAACATCAGTTTTCGAGTTTTGCGTTTTTTTTTCGCTTGTAGATCCTTCACATAAATTTTGACTATTTTTTAAAACTTTAAGCGAAGCTTTCTCGACAACCACTAATAAATTTCGATAAAAAAATAGTTTGTAGAATTCAGATAAACAAAAGTTTCATCGAAATTTATCAGGCCATTGTCAAGGAAACTTAGTTCAAAATTAGGAGAACCTTTTTCAAACCTTTAAGCGAAGCTTTCTCGATAATCACCCGATAAATTTCGATGAAAATTTTTTTTCAAATAAAAAAATTTTCATTAAAATTGATCAGGTGGTTGTCGGGAAAACTCAATTCGAAGTTTTAAAAAAATTTAGGCGGAACTTCTTTATAGACGAATTTTTTTAAATCTTTTGAGAGAAACTTTCTCACCAAACATCTGATCAATTTCGAAGAATTCTTTTTATTTGAATTCTATAAGTCTGTAGAATTCGAATAAACATTTTTTATCAAATTAATCAGATTGTTGTCAAGAAAACTTTGTTCAAACTTTCAAAAAATTTAGACGTACCATCTCAATACGCGGGATAAATTTCTCCAAATCTTTAAGTGAAGTTTTCTCGACAAGCACCTGATAAATTTCAATAAATTTTTTTTTTATTTGAATCGCACAAACTTGTAGAACTTTCTAAAAATTTTTCATTGAAATTGATTGAGTGATTGCCGTGAAAGCTTTATTCAAATAATCAGGATTTATGAAGGACCTACTTCACGTGACTCGGAAGAGGAACCAATCGTCAATAATTCTGGTTAAATTTGCAGATCATTTTGCCAGATCTAAAACAAACCAATTTTAAATGTGGTCAAATGATCTGCAAGTTTGACCAGAATTATGAACTAATCAGGTGATACAAATCCTCCGTGTTTTTTTTTTTCTTTCAGAATGATTAAGCCTGCATTATAACGCTGACCAGAATTATGCCATCTTGCCCTAAATTATAAAAATTACACTACGAAGTCTCTCAAAAATGCCTGCGCAAGCTGCGCAGTGGCCCATCCCTAAATATAATAATTTAAGATATACATCATTGTACCAGTGTTAGAGATCTGATAAATTTATGTTCTTATGAACATTTTTATTTTCTCGAAAAAAAAAGAGAGAGAGAGAGTAATTATATATTTCATGTACATTATATGAGAACATAAATTACAAATTTTATGATCTTAGTTGATTCTCAAAAGAGAACATATTTTTTAAATACAATGTTTTCAAATTCTTTAAACGTTCTTGAGAACACTGAGAACACTAGATATCAAACACTGCATTGTACTGTGAATTTATAGGTCATTAAAATGGTTTTAATTTTATTTAAACAAGAGTAGAACATATAATCAGATAAATTTTGTATAAACAAATAAATCAAATTTATAGTACATCAAAACGCATTATCAGGTAGATGCAATTAAGTCCACAATAGTTCCAACCAATTTCTGCATATCTAAGGATCTCTCTTTCCCAATCTGAAGTACCTCCTCGTGATTCACTTGTGGCACCTTTATATCATCCAAATTCTGTTCTGCTGGATCTGCGCTTTTGCCTTTCCCAATAGCTACCATACAAGTCACCAAACTCAAACCCAATACTCTAATGCCACAATAACCTCAGGGACGGTGGACATACCAATTAAATCGCAACCTATCGATTTTAAGAACCTTGCTTCAGCCCTGCTTTCAAACGAAGGTCCACTATAAAAAGTGTATATAGCTTCTTTCAAAGTTTCTTTGGGCAATTTCAGGGAATTAGCAGCTTTGAATGCAATTACACGAAGATTATAATCATATGCATCGGACATTGGAGGAAATCTCGTTCCGAAAGCAGAGACGTTTGGGCCACATAGGGGATTGTTTCCGACTAAACAAGGAAGGGAAATGTGATCACTTATTATACCTATCGTGCCAGCTTTGAAGTCTCTGCTTAGTGCTCCGCTCGCGTTGGTAGCTATTTACAATTATAAATAAAACATTCAAAAAAAGTAGATTAAATACGTTATACATGCCTAGGCAACCTGCTGGTATTATAACTATTTCTAGCGAATACAGTCTCTACGCAGATGAAGTGACTTACCAATCAATACTTCCACACCTAACATCTTAAAAACTCTTATAGGAAATGTGATCTGATTAAGTGTATACCCTTCAAAAAAATGAAATCTTCCGACCATGCAAACTATTTGTGTTTTTTTATCACCAAGTAGGCCAAAAACAAGTTTTCCTGCATGACCTTGTACTTTAAGAAAAAATGTAACAATTTTTTTTTTTTAATAAACAAATGCTGTATTCAGTGATATTTGCAGAGAGAGTTGTAGCTTTACCTGTACTGGAGACAAACCCTGGTATATCTTCATAAGAGAATTCCACTTTATCAGTGATAACATCAGCTAATTGTCCAAGTCCTGAACCACATATGATTGCTACTTTTGGTTCGGAAAGTTTGAGTGGTAACCGAACACGAAGGTAATTTGTAGTAGTTGTGAATTCTTTTATGGAAGCATCATCAGTATTTTCTTTTTCTTTGTCTTTTTATTTATCCCTTTCCAGAAGGGACGCCAGTTGGCGTACTTTTGGTTGTATATTTGAGATGGCATTTGTTATGATGCAAATATGTACGAACGTATACGTTTGATATCCATATATCGTGTCAAGAGATCTAATATAGTTGTTAATCATTTAACGAATGTTTTAATATAGAATGTAATCAGGGGCAGGGATTATATTTAATTAACTTACTTAATGCCAATAATGAACTAAATAGAGAAACAATTTGCGTTTCCTGAACTGTAAAAAAAAAAGAATTTGCGTAAAAAAAAAAAAAAAAAAATACAATATTAATGTTTATATATAAAGGTCGGGCGGGTCCTTTAAATATTCTTCGTAGTATTCAATAAATAAATGTTCACGAATCTTGGTCTTCCACGAATAGAGATGAAAACAAGGTGTATTATACAGCCATGCCTGCGGTTGATGTGCAAGTGCTTGTACTACCAAAAAAATCCATGCGAGTTAAAAACATTCATGCGCATCGATCACGGGATGGCACGAATAACATTATGCGAGTATATTATTTAGAGCATCGTCAATCTAAATGAGTCGTGAAAATATGAATTTATCATTTTTTATTATAAATAACTATAAATTGGGTTTAATGAGGTGGAAATCGGATCATTCTAAAAAGATCTTCCTTAGAGCCGGGTCTGGTATTACCTGGATTATCCTCGGGTGACCAAATATTACTAAACCGTTTTTAGATTTCCTTATTTAGTATAGTGTTTGAAGCGAAGCAACTAAAATTATTGGTTAGAGTTGTAAGGATTGACATGTATTATAGGTAAAACTATGACTCTCCTGAAATATTTCATTTATACTCCAAGACAGGTTTAAGCAGTCGTTTCTCATGTTTGTTGCTTTCTTGGCTTTTTTTAATTTGATTTGATTGGTTAGTCGGTGTAGATCTTTCAAATAAGGAAATGGTAATATGGGAATGGACTAGGAAAATGGTTGACACTTGCTTTCAAGTAGGGGTTTTCCTAGTCCATTCCCAATCTGAGTCTCGGCGGGTAATTGATATCCAGAAATTCTTCTAATTGGTTGATTTTTATGTATATACAATATTAATTATTAATTAAACCAATTAAATTACAAAATTCATCGTTTTAATACTATACAAAAGAACTAATTAACTTCATATATGCAAAAAATGGGCAGATATCATAAAGTGGGTGTAAGCTATATTTCTTATTAATAAACCCAAACTATTAACACAATATATATACGTACCATCTATGTATAATCTATAAACCAAAAATTATTCTTATTGACAGGCCCAAACTAGGATGAAAATCGATTCTATGATAATCGATTTACGTACATAATCGTTATTGTGGTTTGCAAAAAAGGTATCGGCATTACATTATGATATACAAATTCTGCTTCAATTTTCAATTTATAAATAAGTATAATGATTTCACAATCGGTAACAATTATCAAAAAGTATGAATTTATATACGTATCCATTTTTTATTATTTATAAATGTTTCTTTGATCACATTACATAAATTCAAAAAAAAAACTAAATAATCGATTATCCATATTGTCTTGCACATAGTATTTATTATTATTATTCTTTTTTTGAGCAGAAAAAATGGTCATTTCGTTCTAAGAGTTGCAAAATCATTGATAAAATTAAATTGCCTATCGTTATATTAATATTATTTATAAATTACTAAATTTTTAGCAAACAGATTTTTCATAAACTTTGCCAAAATTTTCATTAATATGATCTCAAGGGTCGAATAGCCCTATAACAATTTATTTAAAAAAATCTTCCAATAACTAGTTGAGAGTTCATTCAATGAGTCTTCCATTACAGGTATGATTGCAATGTAGAAGAATTGTTAACCACTCTCTATGTAAACACATGGCTCAAAAACTAAATGATGCTGGTGTGGAT